TCTCTCTCTCTCTCTCTCTCTCTCTCTCTCCCCCCAATCCCGACCCTAGACATGGTATAGGGTACAAAGTAGGCCTGTTAACCTCTTCAGCCACACCGGGTCATCGACGGTTTGCTTTTGTCGTATATAATCTTCCCAGAGGGGGAGATCCGCTCATAACTTCACAGCACACACCAGGATTTGGACGCGCACACTACGATAGAACAGTTATCGGAAAAGAAAACGAACACCTAATAAATTATAGGTACATTCTTTGGCTGATCCTTTTCATTTTTCTGCTCACCACCAGGGACTTCGAGAATTTCCAGGTACGATATGATGGGGGAAGATTCCGACTTGTGAATTTGTGATTATATATATGTGATGATGAATCCTAGCGGATGCATGTATGCTTCCCAGGAAGACGAGAATGTTTTTGAGTTGAATAATATTATTATAGTGTAAATACTGCAACTGTAAAGCGCATATAACTTTCTGTCGAGCGGGGTATGTGCTATTTAAAATATTGTATGTTATTTATTATGATTATTACTCATTTCTCTTGGGATGGGATTTTTTTCCCCTTCAGAAGCTACTGTGGCCTACTTTTGAATTTATTGAGAACGACGTAATAATGTAATAATATTCGTAGTGTTTCGACTGCGATTTTGACATTTAGCTCATGAGAAACTTCTAGAATATCATCAGGGTGCTGCTACCAGGGGTGAGTGCTGACTTATTGGAAAGGGACTCACTCAAAACGAGACAAAGAGCCAAATAGAAATGAGGCCACCCACGAAAAACTTTCCCATAATAGGAACATAATTAATAGCTGACATAACTTCCTATTCGAGGCAGCATCACTAAGTTGTGATTGAAAAAAAATCCCGAATTCATGTACACCTGCCAAAATAATCGAGAAGAAGTCTACCATAATAATTTTATTCTCATTTTGGGCAAAACGTTATAATAACTTTTAAACGCACGGTGGGAATGGTGGTCTCAAGATTGTTCAACAGTGCATTTGATTGATTGAAGATGTGAATACATTGTTGGCCAGGAAATCATAAAATATCATGATAGTTATGATAATTATGATTATAGAGAACACAGCGCACCGGCAGTGGAATTTTAATCGCAGTCGCAGAGGGGGGTTCCCAGCCAAGCGCCTTATCACGTCGGGGTCACAGGGGTCAGCTCCCTGTCGCCGCTCTGTCTGGGCTAACTTCATTTTTGGTACTTTTCAACCGACGGTTTTAGGTGCATCCTTGTATCTATGGCCTATGGCAATTATCATTTAATGTACCCAAAGCACGTATTTCTGCTCTTGAGGCTAAAAAAAGAACGAACATTGTAACTTGTCTGGTTATTTCGTTAGATGCGCTGAAGTTGGCAATGCTAAATTGTAATTTTTTTGGGACAAGTGAAAATGAAAAAAAAAAGAGAGGTTCTTCACGGTTGTAGGAGACGCCTCGGACAAGACAAAAACTATCGAACCTTAGGAACATGAACGACATAACATTCGTGCAGATACATGAGATACTCCGAAAAGATGGTGTCTGCGTATATAATAGAACGCTGTGATTCGCTATGAAGTAGTTCCTCCAAATACAACTTCGTGGTATCTTATGTAATCGTAAATAGTGAATATTTGCATATTTTTCGAAAGTTCATAAAAATTACCCTGAAGTCTCTTTATAAAAACGTACAAACCGATTTTAGTGCCAGGATACATCTACCATGTAATACACCAACAGTATTTTTACCCTCCAGAAATGCCTTACTTTTCTTAAAACGCTAAGTCTAAGTTTTGTAAGCTGACTTAATAACAGGGATGAATTCTCGTAATTGGTTTATAAGAATAATCTCTAGCTTTCCAGTGACACCGAATCAGCACCAGACTTTTCCAGCTTTTATTTTCGTTTCTATGATCATTTGCAATCGCTGACAATGTTCTGATTTCTTTACATTCATAAGTGTCCGTGCATATTTCCCACACAAAAACTAAGAACAAATGTATTAGATCTAGCTGTCATTTATAATATTATTGTTCTATTGTATTAAATGCAATGCTTTGATCTTTTGTACAAAACAAAAACCAAACAAAGCGGTACCGCCTATATTAAACATTCCCATGACGTGCGTTTTTGTAAACTGCAGCGTCATCTTAGTCGGTGGGTGGCGGGTGCTCTGATCTGATTTGCTTCTTCTTTCTTATTAAACTTCTGTCGTCTTTATCTCCCATCCTTCTTTTTTTGTGTATTTGCTACTCTCTTGTAAAACAACTAATCTCGTCGACAGTTATAAGGCTTTATTGATTGTGTAGCAAGAGCCGTTAAGCTCTCACTAAAACTGAAAAATGGTACTCTCTTGTAACACCTTCTAATCTTCGGCAGGAATATGACGGTATTGTGTTGCGCAATAGCCATCGTTAAGCTCTTACTAAAAAAACAACAAAACAACAACTAAACACTAACCTATCTCCCTCCCCCCCCAACAAGAACAACAACAACAACAACCAAAAATAAACAACAACAACGAAACTAGAAGAAGAACACCCTACCACCACCCACTCGCTCATCCACAGAACCAGATCACGTGATGTCTTCCAGCAGCCAACAATTCGCGGGGAAATCTGTGATCGTGACGGGCTCTAGCGCGGGCATAGGGGAGTCCACGGCCGTACTGTTGGCTCAACAAGGAGCTAGCGTCACTCTACACGGGCGAGACAGCGGCAGACTACAGAACGTTCTGGAGAAATGCCAGAAGGCGAGCGGCGGGAAGCACCCAGAAAGGTTCATTACGGTCGTGGGCGACGTCGCGGACAAATCTGTGAGAACCAAACTCGTGGAGGATACGGTAAAAGCCTTCGGGAAGCTGGACATTCTTGTCGCCAACGCAGGGATCTGCCCCACGACTTCTATAGCGACCGATTCCGAGGAAGATTACGATCGCGTTATGGACACCAATCTCAAGTCTGTTTACTTCCTCGTCCAGGCGTCGCTGCCTTTGTTGGAGAAGTCTAAGGGCAATATCGTCTGTGTCTCGTCCATGATCACAACCAAGGTCAGCATGAGTCTAGAACTGTACGGGCTGAGCAAAGCCGGGATGGACCATTTGGTTCGAAGCCTCGCATACTCGCAGGGGATAAACGGTAACAAAATATAGTATAATGACAATTCTTCTTCTTCTTCTTCTTCTTCTTCTCGATCGCATCACGCTTGAAGTCTGGTATCTGTCATAAATTGGGCCGTCCTTCTCAGTTCATCTGTCGGCCCGTATAGCTTCTCTTGTAGCGTCAGTGGGGTTGGCCACGTTTCCTGTCTCAGGGCCCTGTGTGCTTGCAGTGCTGAAGAACGTGTTCAACAGTTTGGTCCGCTTCTCTACACTGGCATTTTGGTGATTGTACTAGTTTAAAACATCTGTACATTTTATGTTGTCTCAGTCTTGTGTGTTGTGTTCTTAGTCTGAAGATAATCACTTGTTCTTGCTTGGCGGGACAGCTCATGGTAGCTATCTGGTGTCTGTGGTACTTTAAGTAGTGTGTTTAATTTTATAAGTTTTTATTTCTGTGTAGTTAACGCTGTTGTCCCTCCCCTCCCCCCATCGCTCTCTCCCTTTTTCCCTCCTCTCTCCTCCCCCCTCTCAAATCACCCCACCCTTTTCCCCTCCCCTCTCCCCCCTC